CGTGTTCTCCATTACGGACGCGACGCGCTCTGAAAGCGGCACTAAAAGATGCTTTAAAACTTTCACAGAGACATCAAACAGAAAGCACTTTAACCTGAATTTTAAACTTTCTTTAACCTGAATTTCGTTTTGTATTAATTGTATCTTAATTTTAATCAATGTTTCATCAACTTTAATGACTTTAACAGGATTTAATAAATAGGCCTACCGAACCGAAACTCAGCATAGGCTATAAGGTAGGCTACCCTACTTGCCTCACATGTCTACTTTTAAACAGAACAATTCAAAACGAAAGAAAACAGACTACAGACTGCTCTCTGCTTATGTAATCCGTATGAAATGTGCATTTCTCTCTGGCGCGTTCACTACTGAAGATCGCGAGTCAGCATCGTCAACTTCATCTTAGCCGACAAAGAAAACACTTGTTTATTAATAAACAATTAAAATATCTCCTTGCTATATTTTTTACATATTCAAAATCATTACTTTTGCCGGTTCTTTGTGACAGCTTTTAGGTGCTTTATTGGCAGCGCCACCCTTACATGTTACACGAGTCGCCACCGCATCACCGCACCCACCAGAATAGGCCTGTATATATAAAATTCTGGCTTTATATAAAAATCTGGCTATATATATATATATATATATATATATATATATATGTTGCCCCCTCATTTAAAGACGGGACCCCCCAAAAATAAAATTCTGGCTACGCCCCTGCTATCGACCACAACATTCTTTTAAATAGACTTGAAAATTATGTTGGCATTAGTGGAATTGCACTAGCATGGTTTAAATCATACTTATCTGAACGTTATCAGTTTGTAGCAGTAAATGAAGAGATGTCTTATCGATCACAAGTTTTGTATGGCGCACCACAAGGCTCAGTACTAGGACCGTTGCTGTTCACTCTGTACATGCTACCATTAGGAGATATCATTAGGAAGCATGGCATTAGTTTTCACTGTTATGCTGATGATACTCAGCTGTATATTTCTTCACACCCTGAAGAAACGCACCAATTCACTAAATTAACGGAATGCATAGCTGATATAAAAAACTGGGTAACGCTTCCTTTTACAGTACAGTACTTACATGTACTACAGTGTACTTACCTAGAAAGTACTGGCTAATATAAGGTAGGTACATGGGTTAGGAGTAGGTTTAGGGGTAGGTTCAGGGTTAGTACCTAGTTATTACCCAGTAATTATAATTACTATAATAAGTACATAGTAAGTACATGGGTAACAGGACTGTAAAAGGAAGCGTTACCAAAAACTGGATGGCTAGTAATTTCATATTACTTAACTCTGAAAAAACAGAGATTCTAATTATTGGACAAAACACTTCCTCACGTAATAACCTAGAATACTGTCTAACACTTGATGGCTGCTCTGTTAAGTCTTCGTCGTCGGTTAGGAACTTGGGTGTGCTCGTAAACCTCATTCTTCCATCTTAAAAATATATAAAAATATATTAAAAATATATCTAAATTACGTCATATGCTCTGACAAATGTGGAACAATTAGTTCATGTGTTCATGACATCAAGGCTAGATTACTGTAATGCTCGTATGGGTGGTTGCCCTGCACGCTTAATAAACAAACTACAGCTGGTCCAAAATGCAGCAGCTCGAGTTCTTACCAGAACCAGGAAGTATGACCTTATTAGCCCGGTTCGATCAAACACGGCATTGGCTCCCTATTAAACATCATATAAATTTTAAAATACTGCTGAATACTTAAAAAAGCACTAAATGGTTTAGCTCTCCAGTACTTGAGCGAGCTCTTATCGCATTATAGTCCTTCACGTCTATTGCGATCTCAAAATTCCGGCCAGTTGATAATACCTAGAATATCAAAATCGAATGCAGGCGGTAGATCCTTTTCCTATTTAGCACCAAAACTTTGGAATAGTCTTCCTACCATTGTCCGGAAAGCAGACACACTCTGTCAGTTCAAAGCTAGACTAAAAACACATCTCTTTGACCTAGCATACACATAACACATTATAAACATATTTAATTCAATGTTAGGCTGCATAGATTAGGTCAGCCGGAACCGGGAACACTTCCAATAAATCCTGATGTACTCGTTACATCATAAGAAGAATGGCGTCTACACTAATATTAGTCTCTCTGTTTATCCCGAGGTTTACTGCAGTCCGCTGCATCCAGGCCGTATCCAGATCTGATGAAGGACCTGCGCCTGGACACGAAGACAACACAGTCCTGAAGTGTCAACTAGTCTCTCCTCTGTGAAGGCCTCCTTCTCTTTACCTCTGTACAGATAAAACGTTGTCAAAATAGTTTCGGTTCACATGACTACGCGGAAGCGATAAATAATTATGTATTATAAATGTTCTAAGGCCAGACAAGTAATTTGTTGAGGTCAGGTTGTAAAGAAAGACTTCACACCTGCGCACATATATATTCAAACGCGCATACCTATAGACTGAACACGTAATACGCCGTCAGCATTTTCACAGGTTTGCGTTTTTAAAGCTTGCACAGAGATTAAAATTATTATCAATATATTTTTCAGGACTTGAACCTTGGAACCTACAGTATTTCTGGGTTTTGTGGAGACACCAGGCACTGTTTTGTGCGGATGAGTGGGCCGGAGCGCGTTAAGGGTTTTCTGTTAGAACGGTGTCGCGTTAGCGGCCCTTAGGTTAATAACTAAAGATCTTTGCAACGGAAGTGAATCAATCCAAAAAAAATCCAAAAAAAACGCGCCGGCGCGTTTGTCGACCCCAGAGGATTAACTTTAGCCTAATAGGCTGCGGTGGTGGAGTCCATGCAGGAGGAGCAGCGTTTGGCACTGCGTCGCTTTTCAGCGCAAGCTGTTTGGAGAAGCCCATTTCCACCTCCATTGCGTTGGAGAAGCAATCCCGTGTAATATGCAGGTTGCACAGTCCAGCTCTAGGTGGAAACTCACAGTCTTCCAGGCCAAGTGCATGCAACCACTGGCGCCTAACTTCCAAGTGTGCTGGAACTGGTTATGCAGTCCAGCAGTGCTGTTGCAACCAGCAACATTACACCTACGTACCATCCTAACCACTGTACTAAATACAGATAAAGCTAATGCTAAAAACCTGCTTACGTCATGCGGCACCACAACTTCCAACAGGAAAATTCAACTGCAGTAGCCACCGTTAAACCTGAAGCACTCAGACATTTTCACACCATATATTGTAGAATTAAAACACTTACTTAATTCCCAAATGTTAAAAAATTTACTCGAATCAATGAACAGCACTAATAAAGCCCCAGTCTTACAGATCATCAACTAAAAAAAAGTTTTAGGATTTAGTTACCCTTTAAAAACACAAACCTTTCTTTAGCAGAATCACAGCATTATGACGTCACATCACCACACCAAAATAAATCCAGTTCAAACGCTAAAATCACAGAAGTACAATAGAAATCCACGTACAAATTACAAAACATATATCAGTGGCGTTCAAAGTTGAATTCTACTGCTGTATAAAAAAAAACAGAGTTTTATCAAAAACTATTATTTTGCTACTATACAAACTAAGTCAATAAAATTAAACCTTCATAAGGGCAAGACTCAAAAACACTCAATCAATAACATTGTGTAGTATATATTTTGTAACACACACACACACACACACACACATACACACACACACATATATATATATATATATATATATATATATATATATATATATATATATACATTGGTGGAGCTGGTTTTAACGCTTTTAGCCTGAAGGGGCCATAGCTTGCCTAAATGGTTGTAGTCAGGTGTAAGCAAAGACTCACAAGACGTAACTGATATTCCATTGTGGTGATTTATTATCAGCGTCGTCGTCGGTCCAACGCACACATGGGCAGTTTGCAAAACACACCGCTAACAACAACTGCTTTACTGAATAGAAATAAAAGCAGAATAAGAACAACAGAATTATAAAACGGGCTTGCACGCATACATGCGATGTTCACAGCTCGCGCTTCTCATATCGACTCCCCACTGAGTGAGGGACTAACAGAGTGCGTACCATCTTAAAGGCGCAGTACCTAATTCTACTTGTTACATGGTGTTTATCAGTTCTATTTCCTTGTGAAAACGTAAGGAGTGTTATCACTGTTCTCTGATATATCTATTTTATTTATATGATTATTTTGGCCATCCATATTATTTGTAGAAATATATTGTTGTTAAAGATGTTTGCTAATGTATGTGTGATTATTTTTGATGGATGGTTTCGTATTTGTAATATTATTTGGTATTTTTCTGTATATTGTATTGTGTTTGAGGTGTATCTGGGTATTTTGGGGTTTTATTGTTTGTATTTTGGATGAATCTGACATTTAACTTTATTTGTCCTATGCTGCAAGTTATTTTTCCAGTGTTTTAGTAAGTTTGAGAACCCTCTGATTTAAGGTTAATTTAACTGCAGCCACAACTATATTTTGTTTTATAATTTTGTATGCATTGTTATTTTGATGTTGATTGGTAACTAACAGTTCTATTTCCTTGTGGAAAGCTGTTGCAGTTTTGTGATGTTTGTGGAGATGTTGCTGTTTGCAGATAAAGAGCCTAATAAAAACGAAAGCTTCACTGCTGTGACACAACCACGATCTTGGTGTCTTCTTCATCACATTAACAACGCAGAGACATTTGGGGGAACATTTTGGCACACCGATGTAGAGGGTTACATATATATTATATTCATACATGTTTTCGGAAAATATACAAGCAGTTTATCAATGTGTCTCGGTTTCAACACTGTCAGTTTTTACTGGTCTATTCCAGACATCCCACCTCTCCTTTAAATTCAGGGATTCTCACTGTTCCTTAATCCCTCCCTATTCTAGCTTGAACGATGTCTAAAACTCTGTACTTCTCCTGTTTATTGCCTCTTTGGATGACTTACTTTGCTTGAATTCCTCAGTCGCTTTGGATAAAAGCATCTGCTAAATGAAAAATGTAAACGTAAAAAAAATAGGAGAATTGAAACAAGGAGCATTACGATATTTCAGAGTCTTTATTTTCTGAGTTGACAGATTAAAATAGCATTCGTTATCTCTTTCTCAGCATAATATAAATCCAAAATCCCTTTGAATATTTCACTCTCATCAAACAGGGGAAATACATTCAAATACAATAGATCTGTAGTAGATCCGTAACAATTCCAAAACTGTATTTCATTGCATTTGTTTACTGATACTGATCGCTTCTGATGAAAAGCCAAACAACCAGCAGCTTAAAACCTTTTCAAATAAAATTCATCCTTGTTATATAACATTTGCCTAATTAACATGTACAGTGTGTCTTTACACAGATATCCTCAAATGATATGGTTGAGTCTAATTGCATGAAGTTTCTTCAGACTTATTGGAGTCACAGTCATTGTTTCTGGTCCAGATCAGTCTTTCCCCACCACCTGCCTCGTTCTTTCCAGAAGGGATCCGGTTAATATTCAGCTGCAGAAAGCGGACTTTGAATGATGCCGTCTATGGCCTAGGCAGCAAGGGACGCACACAGCTGGCCACATCGTTGAAGGAGAGCGGCACATAGTTGGAAACTTGATCGCCAGGGAAAGAAACAAGCTGGGAACCCCGACGATTGGTGTGCTCGTACAGAACCCAGACTCCACCTATCACTTTGTGTGACGAAGCTATGTTACTGAAAGCAATGTCGTGGAGATTGGTTTCATTGCGTAGGGTCACGCTTCTTCCTGTATAGTTAATGTGCTCAAACAGCTGGATTTTAGGGTTGGTCAGATCATCTGTGACCTTCTTGAGGGAAGAAAACTGTCCTTTGTCTTCAAGGGTGGCGTACTCTCCTTCTTCAAAAACCCGCTGCTTTCCTGCAAAATTCTTGTCATAATACGCCACCCATGGTTCGCCAATGACTTTTATGGAGGCGATGGCGTTGTTGAAGCCCTTCTCTTCTAAGTTGTGGACATCATACTTGAATTCAGCTGATCTGCCCTCAAAGGCTTCTTCACTATAAACAATGATCTTGCTCATTTTGAATGATGACTCGAGTAGAGAGAGGCTGGAGAAGGCAAGTGTTTCTGAAGCAGATTCCTGTGGTTCTGCTGGGAACAGTGACTTACTTGGTGTGCAGAGCTGCCTTTTAAAGCACAAATACACCAAAGTGGGCGTTGACTAGATCATTACAGGAGATGTAGGTGTGGAAGCTGTGAAACATGCCAAATCTCAAACTTCTGCTCAGTATCTCTACTAGTGATGTAGTACTCGACCGGTCTTGAAACCGATTTCTGTTTTCTCGGACTCGTCTCGGACTTGTTCCTTCAAAGACTCGGTCTTGACTCGGTCTCGACCCTTCAAAGACTCGGTCTCGACCCTTCAAAGACTCGGTCTTGACTCGGTCTCGGACCACAGTGGGAGGAGAAGGACTCGTAATTTCAGTCCTCGAGATTTTTTTTCCAACGCATTTTTTTTATGTTCATATAAAAAAGAATCAGTATCGTCATTAACTGCATTACACAGTGCAATTGTGTTTATGTAATGTTTGTGTGTGTTATGGGGGAATAAAGTTTTAAAAGAGACTGAATTCGAGTGTATTGTCAAAATATTTAAAATTGGGAAATATTGGAAAATGTTATAAAGCAGCTAAGCCTACTAATTTAGACACGCCACTAGAAAATTTTTATTTGCTCTGCATGTCCTAACTACGATCAGCCTTTATTTGTCTCACAAGTGAGACATTTCAACATTACAGCAGAAAGTGGATAGTATAGAATAGGGTAGAATAATAAGTTACATTAAGATAAATATATGCATAAGACATGCTTTCCTTAAACTTAAAACAGAAAAAAAACAAAAACAGTTCCCATTTAATTATACAAAGTGACATTGTGCATTGATTTATAGCGTAGTAGTTTCTGTATGATGCCTTAAAGGGACAGTACACTTTGAAATCAATCCTCCATACAACCCGGATGCCCTTGAGGTAAGCTAAAACGTATCAAAAAAACAATTTCAAAGTGAACAATCCCCTCAACAGTACTGATTATAAAGTCTCACAGCACTCCAAAGGACCTTAGTCTCCTGAGCAGGAATAGCCTCTTCTGGCCCTTCTTATAAAGGGCGTTAACAGTGTCTGTACAATCTATTTAATAACTATGATTAAAAAAGTCAGGGTGGGCTTAACATGTTGATGACAGAGCAGCACTGTTGAAGCATTTTAGAAAAATAGGCAGAAGATGATGCATGTGGTAGGGATTTTTTAAATGATGGGGGCATAGTCCAGTAAATAGTCCATAGTATAGTCCATAATCCACCCAGTAAAAACATATTCCATATTAAGACGTTAAGACTGCTCCTCTAAACAATTCCAAATCTAGCTGAGTCTGTAGGCCTAACTGTTGATTATTAAATGGGGTGATATTAAATCATGAATATCAAAACTGACATGTTGAGACAAAATCTCGACTCGGACTCGGCCCTTCAAAGACTCGGTCTTGACTCGGACTCGACTGTATTTGAAAAACAACGGACTCGGTCTCGACCCTTCAAAGACTTGGTCTTGACTCGGACTCGACTGTATTTGAAAAACAACGGACTCGGTCTCGACTCGGACTCGACCCTTCAAAGACTCGGTCTTGACTCGGACTCGACTGTATTTGAAAAACAACGGACTCGGTCTCGACTCGGACTCGACCCTTCAAAGACTCGGTCTTGACTCGGACTCGACTGTATTTGAAAAACAACGGACTCGGTCTCGACTCGGACTCGACCCTTCAAAGACTTGGTCTTGACTCGGACTCGACTGTATTTGAAAAACAACGGACTCGGTCTCGACTCGGACTCGACCCTTCAAAGACTCGGTCTTGACTCGGACTCGACTGTATTTGAAAAACAACGGACTCGGTCTCGACTCGGACTCGACCCTTCAAAGACTCGGTCTTGACTCGGACTCGACTGTATTTGAAAAACAACGGACTCGGTCTCGACTCGGACTCGACCCTTCAAAGACTCGGTCTTGACTCGGACTCGACTGTATTTGAAAAACAACGGACTCGGTCTCGACTCGGACTCGACCCTTCAAAGACTCGGTCTTGACTCGGACTCGACTGTATTTGAAAAACAACGGACTCGGTCTCGACTCGGACTCGACCCTTCAAAGACTCGGTCTTGACTCGGACTCGACTGTATTTGAAAAACAACGGACTCGGTCTCGACTCGGACTCGGCATAGGCGGTCTCATCCCCATCACTAGTATCTACAGGCATGTAACCCTAATACAAGGTTCAAAACTCTGTACGAGTCGTATGTTACGTATGCTCCTGACTGGGGAAAACAAAAATCCATTGTATTGTGTTCACTTTGACGGCTGCTTAGCTCTCAGATACAAGTTGCTACTGATAATGGCCAAATCCCAAATACTGTAAATTGAGCCACTTCACTAATTTCGTTAAATTATAAGATGCATCTTAACTGAGATGCAGAAATATCTAACCCTTACAGAACGAAAAAATATTTTCTAAATATGAATTATCAATATATTAAATGGTTTAACAGTATATTTTAAAATATACAGAATAATATATTGTGTTAATATATTACAATATATTGAATAATACATAAGAAATTGCCGCTTTTCATATATTGAAAAATATGTGACAATATATTTACTAATATATCATAATGTATGTCATTTTATATTCAGTAATGTAATTATACATATACATAATATAGAGATATAGACTCTACTCTTCAGCACAATGGTAACTCCAAAAACACATACCAGACAACATTAAATTAAAAAATAATAGAGCATTAAAAACTACCAGATCCCTTCAAGGTAGGTAGTAGAGTCTGCAGGGACGGACTGGGGCTAAAAAACAGCCCTGGAGTTTCTCCCAAATAGGCCCATCATCCAGCCATTCGCCCCTAGCCACTAGGATGTCCTGATACTATGCCACAATACTGTAACTAGGGGTGGGAGATATTGACAAAAATGAATATCTCGATATTTTTTTCCAATATCTCGATATCGATATTCAGACGATATTTTTGCAATCCTTCAAAGAAATGTGTGCAAACTGGCAAAGAAGGTCCAGTTGGTCTTTTGACTTGCTCCATTTTACCTATCATTGTATAGAATTACTAGTACATAAAGATATGAGACAATTGATTTAAGCATGAACCAAATTACTGTACTAAATATTTATTGTAATACAAGAACAGTGCTTTTTCAGTACAATATATGTACGTATTAAATTTACTTTGTGCTTTGCAAATAGGCAGTTCACAAAATTCACGGTTCGGTTCGATACGATACAGTGATGTACGTTTTCGATAAAGCAAAAAGAAAGAAATAACAGATAAATTTCCTATTTATTAAAAGAAAAAATATTTTTAAATAAGTGTGAGGTTTTTTTTACATCTTGAAACCTTTAGTTTTATAAATGGGGGTCATATTTGAAGGATGAACAAATAATGTTTTGGTCATCATCACATTAAAAATAACTTTTAAATATGATAATATTAGAGTTTTGAAGTGCTGGAAAAAGATGTGTGATGTAGGCCTACCTGAAAGCATTTGACTATTTCTGCCAAACTTCCATGGTTACAGTTAGTGTTACTATATTAAATCCATGGTGAATGTTGCTGATCTGTGAACGTAAATTTACCTATAACTAGTTCATTTATGGAAAATGTTTCTCCTGGTTTCCACGTTTGATCCGTTAATAACAGAGAAATGTGCATGCTTCTCACTTGATCTCGCAGTGATGTTATTAGTAACGTTACTTCAGTGGCGAATTCTAATGTTTTCTCTGGATCTCTTAGCGCTGTGTATAACAGTGTCGCTTCATCACGATTCAGCGCCCCTGTTCGGCGCGCGCTGCACTGACATGGTCCGAACTGAAACGGTCCGTGAAGCACAAAATAATAGCACAGTTTCGTTCCGCTTTTATTACGTTTGCCATTTGATGTTGTGCAACGTCATGGTGGTCACGCAAACGCGGATTTTGGTCGGCAGGAAAAATGGTCAAACGAATCGTTCGGTTTGTATGCGTACCGAACCGAAAGCCTCGTACCGAACGGTTCAATACGAATACGCGTACCGTTACACCCCTATTTGCAAACAGTACTTCTATTAGACTAACAACAATGTGACTACCTATTTACTAGAAGTTAAAAGAAGCCCTGTTCGGAGGCTGGTGGATCTCTTGGGAAAATGTATTCCATCTTTTGGACTCATCATTATACAACGCAATTTTTAAAAACTTTTTTACTTCAGACTTCAGTTTTCTGCAAACACCGCATATTTCGCCTTTTCTATCAGCTATTTTATTAATCGTACATCGGCTTTATTCTTTACGTTTTTGGATTGTTGCTTCAACCTAGAAACGTCATAACACACAGGTAAGAACTTAGTTAGTAGCAAATTAGTAGCAGCTTACTCTCGTGCAATTGAGGAACGATCGTAATTTTGTAAAAACACATAAAATAGAGTCAAACAAACCCATACAGTATTAAAATCGCAACATATAATAGTTTAGAAGGTTGTTTTGTCTTTAACTTCCTTCAGCTCTTTTCATGTTTGGGGGGGGGGGGGGGGGGTCGGATTGTAAAAATTATGAAATATTCGATATCCCAATTTTGCATATCGTCCAGACAACAATTTGGATATTATCGTCTAAACGATATATCGCCCACCTCTAACTGTAACCTATATCAGACAAGGTATTCACAGCAAGTAATATCTCAAAAACAATGATGACAATTGGGGTTTTGTTTATTAATGAAGCCTCAGTCTTCAAATAAAAAACAACAAAATGTACAATGCCATTACATCTGAATTGAAAATAAAATACAAATAATGAAATGTCACTGGCTACAGAAACCCTAATTACACAAACTTGTAATTATAAAACATATAGTTAATATATACCAGGGGTCTCCAACCTTTTTGTGTGCGAGGGCTAAAGGGATAAAATAATCTAGAAGGGCTATACTCAAGAATATTTATTATACATATAACATGGTGGTGTTTTTTTACCTTACCTTTACCTTTACTTTTAACTTTAACTTTTTTACTTTTCACCATCATAT